ACTCCCACATGGCCAACTGCAGTCCGAGTCCCGGACCTGGCGGCTTGCTTTCTCACTTTCCCTCCTCTCTGTCTCTGTGTCTCTCTCTGGTCAAATTAAAATAAATGAATGAATAACTAAAATTTAAAAAAATGAAAAGAAAATGAGAAAGCAAGCCACCAGGTCTAGGACTTGAACCATGGCTGGCCATGTGGGAGTCACACCACCCACTGGCTCCGAAGATGCAGTCTTAACTGTAAGCTTGCCTCTTGTGGGGAAAAAATAAAAACCCACTTTGAAACTTTTGTTAATATTATACCTCTACATCACTTTCTCTTTTAGCCTGGATCATTTCATTCTAGCAACGTGAGCTACTTTTGGTCCTATTAACAACCCCCATTGGGACCAGCAGTTAGCGTAATGGCTATGTCACTGGACTCCTACGTAGTCAACCGTGGTTCACGTCCTGGACCTGGTGGCTTAAAACTCACGCCGGGCACGTGTGCGTGTGTGCCCAAGATCCCGAGAGGAGAAAGGAGAAGAAGGGATTGTGGCGTGGCCATCCCCCCTGGGGGGTGACTTCTCGCTTTCTGTCTCTCTGTCTCTGTCTGTCTGTCTGGTGAGCGCACACGCCCTATAGGAGAAAAAAAAAACTTCTCAAAAACAAAACAAAAAACCAATCCCCATTATGCCAAGGGCAGGTTTGTACAAGCAATTCCCACTGTCCAGGTAAGATCTGTGACACAGAAAACAAAACACAACCCCAAGGAAATGTAGTTAAGATTACTCCATTAATGACATTAGAGCTGGGCCAGCCAGGTGGCATGGTGGTTCAGGCAGCTGGATCCCACATGGCCGACGTCGCGGTGTGAGTCCTGGACCCAGTGGCTTAAGAAACACGCTAGACGCACATGTATGTGTGCCCAAAATCCTGAGAGGAGAATGGAGTAGAAGGGACTGTGGCATGGCCATTCCCCATGGGAAGTAATTTTTCCCTTTGTTCTTTCTGTCTCTCTCCAGAGAGTGCACACACCCCTCAGCAAAAACCAAGAAAAAAAAAAAATCAGAGTTTCTGTCCAAGTATGTAGAACTACAGATGCTCCTCAGCTCACGAGGTTATGTCCTCCTAAGTTAGAAATACATGTAACATACTCAACAGGTTTGAATAACGATCTGTTCCCCAAAGGTTCACGCTTTGGAATTTAGTCTCAGTGGGCAGTGATTGGATGGCCCCCAAAGTTCCCGTGTTGGGACTTGGTTGTATTGTAAAGGTAGTCAATGAAAACTTAAACCCTTTGTGGTGGCCCAGGGTGGGCCTTTGTTTTTTTTTTTTGAGAGGTTTTTGTTATAGGGCACGTGCACTCACCAGAAAGAGAGAGACAGAGAGACAGAAAGCGAGAAGTCACCCCCCAGGGGGGATGGCCACGCCACAATCCCTTCTTCTCCTTTCTCCTCTCGGGATCTTGGGCACACACGCACACGTGCCCGGCGTGAGTTTTAAGCCACCAGGTCCAGGACGTGAACCACGGTTGACTACGTAGGAGTCCAGTGACATAGCCATTACGCCAACTGCTGGTCCCCAGGATGGGCCTTTGAATGTGATGGGTCTTTATGGTGGGGCCCCATGATCGAGTCCAGGGGTGTTTATAAAGAGGAAAGGAGGCAGGCAGGGCCACCCGGATACAGACCGGGCTCCACTCTGCTCCAGGTTCTGCCCTCCATCACTCTGTGATGCCTTTGCACTCTGCAACCACCACGACTATGAGCCAATAAGCCACCATTTCTGTGGAGATCGCCCATCTCAGGTATTTCTGTTAGCAACACGGTAAAAGACCAAGGTAATATCCAACCTACCAAACATCATAACTGTAGTGAAGGTAAAAACCAGAACGGTTGTGTGGGTACTCGAAGTAGTTTCTACTGAATACATATCACATTATCACTATCATAAAGTTTACCGATTTTTTTCTTTTTTCTATTTTTTGCCAGAGGGCATGTGTGCTCACCAGAAAGCAGCAGAGAGAGGGAGAGCAAGAAGCACTCATGTGGTCATGCTGCAATCCCTTCTCCATGTTTTCATCTTTCTGGGACTTTGGGGGATGCACACATGGACCTGGTATGTTTTTTTTTAATTTTTAAAAAAGAATTATTTAATTTTAACTTTATTTATTATTATTTCTAATTTTATCAGAGAGAGAGAGAGAGAGAGAGAGAGAGAGAGAGAAAGGGAAGTGAGAAAGGAAGCTATCAGGTCCAAGACTTGAACCATAGGTGGCCATGTGGGAGTCCAGCGCCTTTAACTACCATGCCACCTGCTGGCCCCGTACCTGGTATGTTTTTCTTGTGCCAGGGTCGGGATTCAAACCTCAGTCGGTTATGTGGAATCTGTCTCCCTTAACCATTAGGCCACAGGGCCAGCCCATCCTCAGATCTCTTTCAGATCTTTTTCACATGAGGGAATATACTCTTCTGTGTTTAAGACACTGCGACCGGATCTTGCAATATGAATCCAATTAATTGGCTAGAAATATTTCATCTCAAATCACATTTGGGAAATCCATATTCACGGAACTCATCCTGAGCTGGCTAGAGGAATCTGGGACAGATCTTAGTCAACTGTAATCTAATTCCTCAGGCCGTTTGACTGGAGTCCTCCCTGCATGGCCACCTGTAAGAGAACAAGGGGCCTGCTCACTGCAGGGTAGTTGAAGAAGGTAGAACCCTTCCCTTGACCTCCTGCACCTCTGCCGCCTTGGTCTCAATGCTGGATACTCTCACATTTCGGGGGTCTTCAGGAAGGAGAGAGCCAATAACTGAAATGATGTTACAGACTTATTCAAATAACTGCTTCTTCAGTTCCCCACTCGTGTCCCCGACATCTGTTGCTTGTTCCAAAGGGTATGTCCTAGGGGTCACTTTAGGTTTCAAGGTGTCATTATCTGTACAGTAGCTTCCTAGCCAGCCTACCCATCAGAGTTCTCACCTCCTTCCAACCACAGCCAATCCATGCTCTTGCCTCTGGTCCCAGGCTAAATTTCCTCCTTCACTCCAACACATAGCCTTGGTTACATTTCCCTGCCGTCTGCACACAAGCTGGCTATGCACAGCTGCAGCCCCGGCTGGCCCCAGGACTGCTTGCTTTAGTAGTTGAGGGAGCATTTATTACTTACAGCTCCTCCGACCACAAGACAGCATAGGAAACACCTCTCCTGTCCTTCTATTTTCTATTGAGAGGCTGGTTCATAGAAATCACCCTCAGCAGACACACCGCACATGACTGGCAGGGCTTAGTATTCAGGGAAGTATAAACGCTGGGTTCCAATCCTGACTCTTACTTAATTAGCCGGGCGACCACGGCCAGCTGCTTCCCCTCAGTGAGACTATTTCATCGTCACCCAAGTTGACAAGATAAACCCGGGTGAAACGAGGACTAGCGTACAGGGAGCCCTGGCGCAGCCCCAGGCCCAGGGCGCATCGTCAGCCCGGCAACAGAACTTTCATTGGGAGGCCAGCGGGGACGAAGAGGGCCGGGCTGCTGTCCTGGAGAGGTCCAAGGTCAGTTAACTTGCAGAGCAAGGTCACTCAGGGCAGGCCCAGGAAGGCTAACCCTGGGATGGACAGCCTGCTGATACGCCCGAGGGGTGCAGCGAGGGCCTGTCTTCTCTAGGGACAGTCCCCGACCCCCTGCGGCTCACGAAGGCCGCTCAGGCAGGCCCGGAGGTCCTCCTTGCAGGAGGGAGGCCCTCTCCCCACTACTGCGTTACAGAAGCGCAATCACTGCTGCCGCCGGGCGCCGGACGACCCCCGCGGGCACCCGGAGGGGGCGGAGCCGGTGGGGGCGTGGCCTTGGGATGTACCAACTTCACATGGGGGGGCACCCTCTCCTGGGCGACACATCACAGCGGTACGACGAATAGGCTCTAAGGTAGCCGCAGCCAAGAGTAAGATCTTGCGACCTTCTTTCTCGAATCCCGATGATCCAGGGCGCAGAGCCAGCCCGGGCGAGGCAGATCCTCGGACGTCCCGTGTCCCCCCCGGTTGGGCGCGGCGGGCGTGGGGGGCGTGGTCGGGGCGTGGCCGGGGCTGCCCTTGCGGCGCGGCGGGGGACAGCGCGCGGTTAAAGACCCGGCTAGTCTGGTGTCTGCAGCTCACGCTCCTAGAAGGCCCGAGGGCGCCGGGTTGTGTCTGCACGATGTTGTGCCGGGATGCTTGCAGGTGAGAGGCGGCGGGCGCGTGCGGGC